GAGGGAGGCCTGCAGGCCGGGACCCTGGGGGAAGCTTCCCTCAGAGGTGCTGTTCCCTCGGTGACACCTGAAAACGCTGCTTAGCACTTGAGGCCTGTACCTGGGCTTGGGCTTCTGGTGAACCCAGATTCGTCCCTAACAGCTGTGAGGGGTTACACTGGGCTCAGGCAAGCGCCTGAGAGTTATGAGAGAGGACAGAAGTCCTGGCAGTGACTCTCTGTTTTCTGGCCTCTTCTCGGGCAACGCCTGGTCGCTAGATCCTACCGTGAAGCTGGTGCAGGACAACCCCTGTCTGACGGAGTTCATCGCCTCCGTGCTGGCACTGCCAGAGCCCAGTGCGAGCATCCTCTCCTTTACTCTGCGGTTAGCTGGGATACTTGCCGCTTCCGAAAACCGCTTCCAACACTTGCAGGTGAGTCGGCTACCCAGGTACATGCTGCCACGTGTCTGTTTCCTCCTATATGGAGGAGAGCTGAAAATGTACGTATTCTGCTTATAAAACTTCTGGCATACATTGAACAACTCGGCAAACAGTGATATGATAATGAAGACCTACAATCATACCGTTCCTATTCAGTTCTCATGTAAAGCTGCTGTTGTCTTACTTCTGTCTTGCCACAGTAGTACTATGAATGCTAATATGTAGCGCTTCTCATTTTCCGTTCAAAACAGTATATGGGATAACACTATCTCACAGCAGTCACTGCAAAATATTGTATCCCTGGACAAATGCTGTAGGTTTCAGCTGCACTAACAGATGTAGTCTTCCCTCCATAGTAGGTTGACAGGAAATCTCTGATTTCCTGCAAAAATGAGGGAGCTTTTTAAGCCCTGCTTTCTACAATAGCATACATTTATAGTACAAAACTCAAAACCCAAAAGGCTTCCTTCAGGGAAGAGATGCATGCAACTGCGTAAAGCAGTCTAATGGAACTGATATATACATAAAGTTGTCCTTAGCATCTTAAAAACAAGCAATTTTGGTTTTGAACACCTCCGTTGCTTAGTCCATGAAAGAGACTTATGTTGAGTTTAAGCATGGGATTCTGAAAATTTTCTATTTTAGTGATACTTCTAGCAAGAGAAGGTTTCACTACAGTATTGATGCTCTTGACTTGGATGACAGAGCAGCCTCTCCACTCCCCTTGAGCCCCGTTGCTTACCGTTTACTCTGTGTGTTCTCCTCTGGCCTCAGCAGGAGAAGCTGTTGGTCAGGCTCTTTGGCAGGGATGGGCCTCTGAACAGCGCAGTGTGGGAAGATGCGTCTGTGCGAAGTGGCTGGGTGGAGGGTGTGCACAGCATGATGCATCACCAGCCTGCCCTCCACTTCCTCTGCAATGGTGGTGAGTACTTCTAGGACTGGTAACTCCCCAAATCCTCTGTGTCTCTTCCATTCCAGTCTGTTGCTCAGATGTCAGATGAGAGAGATGGGAGTTTTCATTTATTTAAGATAAAAATAAGCCATTTGTCAAAAACACTGAAGTCATTGAAAGATGGTGGGGGTTTTGTTACGTTAGTTATGCATTTAATTTTTTTTTTATTCTTTTTTTTTCCCAAACACTGAAGATGGTTCCCTTTTTAGAGGGGAAAGAAGCACATCTTATGAAACACATGATAAAAATAGCTTATTAGAAGCTTATTAAAAGCCTTCTGTATTCTTATTTGTAACTCTTACTAAAAGGTACGTTTCACTATGATTTTAGTGCAGAAAAACTAACAAAACTAACCAGGGGCTCATTTATCTCTTAATACTTGCACACATTTGCAGTCCCATTGTTGTTACGCAGGTATGTAAACTCTGCTGTTAACACCAACTTTAGATCCCATGTACAGAGGGGTGTAAAAGACTGGATTGGTATTAACATGCAGCGCTGTTCTCCATGTGATGGAAAAGTAGTACTGTTGCTGCCGTTCATGTTTTTCCTACTGGTTGTGTCTGGAGATGGTACAAGCTCCTTCCATAACTACACAGTGAGTGTGCTGTCAACTCTCCCAATATTACTAATGTTATATTGAAGTCCTCTTCTGTTCCTGAGTTATTAAAACACCTGAGGATCTGAAAACAACTTTACTTTCTTCTTTTGTTTGCTTTTTGTTTGTTTGTTTGTCGTTAAGGACTGGCTGACTTTGAAATGCCGTAGAGACTATAAAATAAAGTAGAAAAAAACCCCACCAACACCATTTAAAGCTGTGTGGTACTTGAATTAGAATAATATATGGTTGGAGTGCAACAAGGCTCCACCTCACAATAGGAAGGCTGTTGTTTTTCCCTCCAGTGACTTGTTTTGTTTTCACACAGGAGGCATAGATGTGATCTTCACTCTGCAAGGGGATCCCAGCCTGTTTGTGGCTTCAGCTGCCAGTCAGCTTCTGGTGCACATGCTAACACTCTCTGTAGAGTCTGAAACGACTAAACCTCTCAGTACAAAGGACTGTGACTGGCCAGCCTGTGCCCAAATGATTATAAAGCGTATAGAAGATTCCCTTCAGTCCAGCTCTGCTTCTCACATCGAGCAGTCATTAAAACTGTTAACTAGTTTGTTTGGCAGTTGTCGTGCTACGTGGACTGAAGTACTTTGGTTAGGCATAG